CTAAAGAAAGCCTGAATTCCCATCAGCACCAAGGTCGAGCTGAGTGCTACAAGTCGATGGCTGGTCAGTTATTTGTTTTTCTGTTTTCTGCTGCACAATTAATTTAAATAGGTATTGACTGGAGCTAATGCAGGGCAGTGAGACTGAATAATGGAGCTCTGAGGAAAAGTACAAGTGTCAACTTAGGACAACTTACAATCACTCATTCCTGACATGTCATTTTAAAATAACTTAAATAATGATTTTCAATATTTAATTAACTTTGAAATTATGGATCTGGGGTTTCTACTCCTTCTCCTCCTAAAATTTTATAATTTTGTGCAGTAAATTACAACCATCCTTGTCTCTTAATGAGAACTCTATACCACAAATTACACCCTAATTCTAATTAAATGAAGGTAATTAGTTAAATATAAGTTGTGCTTTAACAGAGGCTCAGGTAAAGGTTTGGTTTCATACTGTTCTTTACTCCACAACAAGGGGAGAACATCAACACAGGGAGAACGTTTGTCGCTTCAGCTTGTAATTAACAGGTCATCGTCAGGTTCAATCAAACAGCAGCTGCAGAGTCTGTGCACGGACACAGAAACCATGTTGAACTCACAGGTTCATCTCAGTCTGGTAGTTGTACAGTAGCACACATTTCCCACAGTTGTAAGTACATTTCCATGGTAACAGTGAGCTCCGCCAATTAGAGAGGATTTTTCAGTTCTGTAGTTTGTGTCTTTGATGTTTAATAGTGCTGTATGATTTGCTATAGCTTTTAAAAAAAAGACCAAAAAAAGTTAACAACGGCAAAGTGTTCTCTGGGTGTTTTTTTTTCAGCTGGAGAGAGCTCTCACTGAGATGTTAATGTTTTTATTCTACTGCAAATTCAGGATTATTATAGGATTGATAGGTATGTGTGTGTGTGTGTGTGTGTGTGTGTGTTTAAGTGTGTATGTTCAAACCACAAAGAACTGGCAGAACCAGCACGTGCATACACTACTTCCCTTATACAGCATTAGGTGTGGCCTTATCCAGCCTTAATGGTGACCCATATCCTCAGATGTGTCCGGGGTCACAGATGTTGGTGCTGCTGCCACTGCCGCTTACTGCTGAGGAGGGCTGAGCCCCAGCCCCTGTGTTTCCAACGATTTCTCCTTGTAAACAGAAGAGCCATTATATTACAAAAGAAGAATAGAAAAAAAACATGAAGTCTATATTTTCACCCTTCTATTTCTCCTCAGAGCCCTTGTCTTTCTGCCTCTTCGTCTTCTGAACAGCAAGGTCATGTACAGTATACTGGAGATTCAGCTTTCTGTGATGGCATTGTCACAGCTGCTGCAGAGAAAGAGGAGGGACTGAACGTGCATAAGTACAGGATGTTATCTGAATCACGCAGATGGAGATTGAATGATTAGAGGTGTGGCACTTCCACTGATTGAGTTAGTGTTTGTCAGTCGTCAATAATTCTGATTTGCAGAGGATAGGTCTCACATTCAATAGATTTATATACAAACTGAGTGATTTACTAGGACTACATTCTGCAACCACAGCCTGCAGGTTGTCCGTTTATTACATAGCGTCTACTCATATGGAGACACTGTGGACGCTCCAGCTGGGCGTGGGTCTACAGCAGGTATAACAACATGCTCTTCTGACACAGTCTGATGAGATGGGAACCATAATCAGCTCAGCACGTTGCACGTGCTGCACCAGCTATGGTGACAATGTGATTTTTCTTTTTTATTGCTCACCTCCATCACGGCGGTGTTGAAAGATTTAACTCGCCACGACATGTTCCGCTGCATCATCTCAGCTCGACTGACGAGTCAGTCCTAAGTAAACACAGGTGAACATAACACAGCAGTTGCCTTATGTGACACGCACTGAGCGGGAGCGAACCGTCAGGAACAACGAGTCGCAGCTGACCTGACCTCGCTCTGCAAGAGGTTGAAGTAGTAAATTATAATCACCTCATGAATTAAAGTTGTCAAACTTCTGACGCGTCAGTTTAATGACGTCTGCTGCGTCTTTACTTTTTACGACCTTTCTCATCCTCTTTAAAACAGTATTTTTCACTCGTCTGGCAGAGACAGCTAATTCCCGTCAGCGTTGTCGTAGCAGCGGTCTGCTCTGATTGTTCTCTGACCCCTTTTTACTGCCTTACAATAGGCCCTGAGGTCGGTGCAGCCGTAGCAAAAAGAGCTGTTATGAGAGTGTAGTGTAGGTCACCTTCATCTGCCTGCTTTGAAACTAGATGACATTATTTCTGTCTATATTTGGAAAATGTTCTGTAGTCACTCTGTATACTTTAGTCTGCATCATTCTGTGGTTCCCAGGATCAGGGTTTTTATTAGCGGGAGTGTATCAGAGACAAGAAGACACTGAAAGGACAGTAAAAAAAGAACAACAACTTTTTCCTGGTCTCTGTCAGGGTTTCTACTGTGAACACATTTACAGTTGGAGTCAAAACTAAATTCTTAAAACAAAAAGCAAAGACATTCTGATTATTTTCTCTGCTCCACAGTGAAAATGGTTATTTTTAGACCAGTTCTAGTGGTGACTCGTCTGTCTGTGAGCAGCCAGGTCACAGTATGCACCGTGTTCGTGACAGAGAACCAGCTTTGACACATCACATGCTTCCCTTTTAGCTTCGTAAAGGAGTGCGGATTAAATTTGACACAAAGTCTCACGTCCTCTTGTAGTACAAGGACGGTCTCTAGCAGAACAAATAAGAGCCTTCCTCTGTCTCTGCTGCTTTTGTCTGGCTGTGGATACACCTTTATAAAAGCCAGACAAAGTCAGGCTGGTTCATCCCTGTAAAGAACACTGTTACCACACTGTCTTCATTTCTCTACTTGTACAAAAAAAAACTGCCTCTTTAACAATAACTTTAAAAATTCATACGTATTTGCATTATTTTTTTATTGACGATGTTGTGCTGTTTGAAAAGACAAGTCAAATACTTGTTTTAAGTTGACTTTACCCAGAGGCATTGGTTGAGCTGCTAAATACATTTCCTAGAAAGACAGTGATTATACCAGCATTCCAGTCTAACACCCCCCACCCCCCACCTGCACCAAACAATGCTGCCTTCAGGAGAAATCAGAAAACAGCTGCTGAGTTTAGGGGTCGATGGACTGTCAGTGTGAGAACGTGTTTATGGACATGCACCTTGTTTTCCCTCTCTGCCACTCTGATTGGAACAATTGCTTTCCTGGGGACAGAATGTCTCACCTTTTTGGTGGGATTTCAGTTCTAAGACCCTGCTGGAGAATAACAACAAAAATAAACGGCACCAAACTGAGCATTTATTTTTCCAGAGAGGTCGGTATCAAAGTTATATTTATTTTAGTTTTTCTTTTTATAACCAGCACCTGCTGGACTGAAATGGTACTGCATTCATTTGTTTTGTTTTTTTACAACTGGTTTGAATAGTGGCTTTCTCCGTTTTAAAATACATTTTGGAAAAATTTTCTATTTATTAAAAATAAAGCATTCTTTTGTCTTCCTTCAAACTTTGTCGAGGCTGAGTTCAACCTATTTCCCCGGCTTCGATGACCTACATTTTGGCTAATTTTAACTTAAATTTTCTCTTTTTCCACTTAGTAACTGTTGGGTGGTTGGGTTTTGACCATGAAGTGTGACACTTCTTTGCAGTAAACAGCACTATATTTAAAACTATATTTTTGTATATTATCAGGAAAATATTCTGTGTTTTAACAGCATTGGACAATTGCAAAATGTGTCTATGACCTCCTATCAGTCTGATTTCCAATATAAAAGCTGATATTTCAGCAACTTTTGCCGGCCAGTAAATACTGCCTCTGCATTTTGATCAATCTTTAATATTTTTTACATCATTAAACGTACATTCTTGTTTGTTTGCTGTGTTACAGCAAACAAACAAAGTTACATTTCTTCTTGTATTGCTTTACTTATACTGAGAAAGAAAAACCTCTTCACAGTCTAACGACTGTGAGGTTTTATTGCAGAACTGCAATGATCTCCAAATATCAGCTCACAGAGATGTTTCCTAGCAGCAGAAGGCTAATATCTGTGATTCATATTGGAGTTTAATTCAGATGAGGATAAAGCAGAAGACAGAATCATTCATTTCCTCATTAAGAATTTTTTTTTTCTCTCTCCATGTGTGTTTTTTTCCCTGTGCTTTTCTGTGTAATCATGTTACTGCGTGAGAAAGAGTTTTTTATTGTGCATCTTTAGCAAACGTGATTAAATC